TCATAAATAAATAATAAAAAAATAAAATAAATACAGCTATGATTCCACACACTAACAATAAAAATCCATATGAAATTAATAAAAATATCACATTAACTAGCATGAAAAATAAATATTTAGGATTAAATTTCAATAGGAGATGAAATACCACACTAAAAATTACCTATTTTGATAAAAAGATTTTAAAAATTCAGTCAGAAATGAAAAGACAACAATGCTCACAGATGACGGCTTCATGTTTCCGCAGTGACATCTGCACAAAATGATCTGCAAATGTAATGCAGTCCTTGCTCTTAACCTGTTAAAATCGAAATGTAGACATGGGCTGAAGATAAAGTCAGAGGATATGCAAATAAGCCCCTCCCTCTTCTGATTAAACCAGCCCAGCCCAGACCCTGCAGCTGGGAGAGGAGCCTCAGCCCTAGATCCCCAGGTGAACCCATTGAGTGATCAGGCCAGAACACAGACAAACCACCATGGAGTCTGTGCTCAGCTGCGTTTTCCTTGTTGCTATTTTAAAAGGTAATTCGTGGAGAACAGAGACCTTGAGTATGTGAGTGGACGTGAGTGCGAGAACGGGATGGGGGGCACTTTCCTAACCAGGATGTCTGTGTCTGCAGGTGTCCAGGGTGAGGTGCAGCTGGTGGAGTCTGGGGGAGACCTGGTGAAGCCTGGGGGGTCCCTGAGACTGTCCTGTGTGGCCTCTGGATTCACCTTCAGTAGCAACGACATGCACTGGGTCCGCCAGGCTCCAGGGAAGGGGCTGCAGTGGGTTGCAATCATTTATACTAGTGGAAGTACCACATACTACGCAGACGCTGTGAAGGGCCGATTCACCATCTCCAGAGACAACGCCAAGAACACGATGTATCTGCAGATGAACAGCCTGAGAGCCGAGGACACGGCCGTGTATTACTGTGCGAGGGACACAGTGAGGGGACCTCAGTGTGAGCCCAGACACAAACCTCCCTGTAGAAGGGGATCAGGACCACCAGGGGGTGCACACTCCTCACCACTTCTGTCTTGAAGGCCCAGGAGCAGGTGCAGATGGAGGTTCTGGGCCGGTTTCCTGTCAGGGTCTGGGCTTCCTCTCCAAGGAGCAGTTTCCCCCAGGGAGCCCCTCTGGACATAGGATTTTGTGTTAACATATTCAGCCCCTGACTTAGAAACTTAGGAAATCAACTCTAGCACCTGCCCTGACTTTTGAAAACAACTGTACTACTTGTTCTTATTTGAACTTAAATTTTCCTGACCCAGAATATAAATCAGTTACAAATACTTCCATACACATCATCTGAACATCTTCCTGAATCACAGCAGCACACACTGTACACCAAGGACCCCATGCTAACATGAGGACTTGGTAGAAGCACCATAAAGTGAATGCTACACATGACGGTACAGAGGAATCTACAATCCATTCAAGAGAAAAAAGACACGTAGTTGGGATCAGTATCTGAGAAAATGTTCAAAAATATTGTAGCAAATGTGTAGTGTCAGAGAGATTCCCGGCATGACTGGTAAGTATGTGCATTTAAAGGTCACACACACACACACACACACACACACACACACACACACACACACGGGAGTACAAAGGTTTATCACCTTCACCATCCTGTCTGTTGAGAGCAGGGCCGGCCTCTCAGCAAGTCACAAGGCTTATATAGAGCCAGGGAAGGACACTGGCTCAGAGTCTGTGTTGAGAGTCAGTGGTTGGGATAGGGTCTGCTCCGGGTTGGGGTGGTGTGGAGTCAGTCTCCCACTTTCGTCAAATGAGGGTGAACCTGTGGGTTCTTGTTTGAATCCCCACGTTGGGCGAGGAGGAGAAGAAGGAGGTTTGGAGATCAAGGATCTAGCAAATAAATTCAAAGGTATGCTTTAAGGAATAAGTCCACTAAAGAAGTATGAAAAGTTGGAGAACAAACAGAGAAAATGTCATTCTACATAGAAAAAGTCCAAATCCTTAGAAAATGAGATGAATGATGCGTGGAAGAATCCAAAAGTATAAAATGATGCTTTGGGGACTAAAATACATTTCTGGGGCAGCCTGGGTGGCTCAGTGGTTTAGCACCACCTTCGGCCCAGAGCCTGATCCTGGGGTCCCGGGATCGAGTCCCACATTGGGCTCGCTGCGTGGAGACTGCTTCTCCCTCTATCTGTGTCTCAGCCTCTCAGCGTGTCTCTCATTAATAAAAAAAATGAATAAAATATTTTCTAAAAATAAAAATAATAAAACAAAATACATTTCTGTAGAGGGATGTGTAATGTCTGACTACTCTTATTTTTTATAATTGTATGGTCAGTATCATGAGTTTTTTCTAAATGAATATGGAGTTTTTCTATTATGTAAGAAAATGATTGGTATTTTGAATAACTTAATCAACTAAAAATCATTAGAACAGACGACATTGGGCGCGTTCAGGGTGGTATGGCCATAGACCCGAATAGCCAGGGGAATTTTAAAAAAGAACCATAGCTGGCAGCATCACAATGCCAGATTTCAGGTTGTACTACAAAGCTGTGGTCTTCAAGACAGTGTGGTCTTGGCACAAAAACAGACACATAGATCAATGGAACAGATTAGAGAACCCAGAAGTGGACCCTGAACTTTATGGTCAACTAATATTCGACAAAGGAGGAAAAATATCCACTGGAAAAAAACAGTCTCTTCAATAAATGGTGCTGGGAAAATTGGACATCCACATGCAGAAGAATGAAATTAGACCACTTCATGCACCAGACAGAAAGATAAACTCAAAATGGATGAAAGATCTAAATGTGAGACAAAATTCCAACAGAATCCTAGAGGAGAACACAGGCAACACCCTTTTTGAACTTGGCCACAGCAACTTCTTGTAAGATACATCCACGAAGGCAAAAGAAACAAAAGCAAAAATGAACTATTGGGACTTCATCAAGATAAGAAACTTTTGCACAGCAAAGGATACAGTCAACAAATCTAAAAGAAAACCTACAGAATGGGAGAAGATATTTGCAAACGATGTATCAGATAAAGGGCTAGTTTCCAAGATCTATAAAGAACTTCTTAAACTCAACACCAAAGAAACAAACAATCCAATCCTGAAATGGGCAAAAGACATGAAGAGAAATCTCACAGAGGAAGACATAGACATGGCCAACACGCACATGAGAAAATGCTCTGCATCACTGGACATCAGGGAAATACAAATTAAAAGAGATACCACAATGAGATACCACCTCACACCAGTGAGAATGGGGAAAATTAACAAGGCAGGAAACAACAAATGTTGGAGAGGATGTGGAGAAAAGGGAACCCTCTTACACTGTTGGTGGGAATGTGAACTGGTGCAGCCACTCTGGAAAACTGTGTGGAGGTTCCTCAAAGAGTTAAAAATAGACCTGCCCTACGACCCAGCAATTGCACTGCTGGGGATTTACCCCAAAGATGCAGATGCAGGGAAACGCTGGGACCCCTGCACCCTGATGTTTCTAGCAGCCATGTCCACAATAGCCAAACTGTGGAAGGAGCCTCGGTGTCCATCGAAAGATGATGGATAAAGAAGATGTGGTCTATGTATACAATGGAATATTCCTCAGCTATTAGAAATGACAAATACCCACCATTTGCTTCAACGTGGATGGATCTGGAGGGTATTAAGCTGAGTGAAATAAGTCAATTGGAGAAGGACAAACATTATATGGTCTCATTCATTTGGGGAATATAAAAATATTGAAAGGAAATAAAGGGGAAAGGAGAAAAAAATAGTGGGAAATATCAGAAAGGGAGCCAGAACATGAAATACTCCTAACTCTGGGAAATGAACTGGAGGTGGTGGAAGGGGAGTTGGGCAGGGGGGTGGGGGTGACTGGGTGATGGGCACTGAGGGGGACACTTGACAGAATAAGCACTTGGAGTTATACTATATATTTGTAAATCAAACCCCACTAAAAAGTATACAGAAAAAGTATCCTCTATCTAGATTTATCCAAGAATAGAGAAATACCCCTAATAAATAATATAGAAGTCCATCTGAATGTGTTTACTCTTATTGTTTTTGATGACACATTTTCTATTGTGGTTAAGAGTCCCTTTTGTATTTTGGATACTAACCCCTTTTCAGTATATAGTTGAACACACTGACTCCCATTTTATTTTATTTTATTTTTTAAAAATAAATTAATTTTTTATTGGTGTTCAATTTACCAACATACAGAATAACACCCAGTGTGCATCCCGTCAAGTGCCCCCCTCAGTGCCCGGCACCCACTCACCCCCACCCCCCGCCCTCCTCCCCTTCCACCACCCCTAGTTGGCAAATTGAACACCAATAAAAAATAAATTTATAATAAAAAAGAAAAAAAGAGGGTGACGGGCAGTGAATGGGTGACGGGCACTGAGGGGGACACTTGACGCGATGAGCACTGGGTGTTATTCTGTATGTTGGTAAATTGAACACCAAAAAAATTAATTTATTAAAAAAAATTCTTGACAAAGGTAAAAAGAAAAAGTATCAGCTTGGAACTAGAAAGGCATCAGACTAGAGGGGATAGGTTTCCCTGAAGTCTCTGACCTGTATTATATATTTCTGCCTCTAGGTCAGAGAATGTCCAATAAAATTCTTTCTCTAAAAAAAATGAAATGAAAAGAAAATTAACAAAATATTCCTTTCACACTGGCAAAAAAATAAAATAATTATTATTAAATATTCATAGGCAGTAACATGCTATATACTAAAAATTACCTAAATTGGCGATTGGGTTTTAATAAGACATTGAGAGATGCAAAGCTAATTCTGTTTACATGTTAAAACACTTCATATCGTTACATGACATTACAGAAATTTGACCTCAAATGTAATGCAATCATGATTATGAAACTTGTAAAGAATCTAATCTAAGTCTGGAGCTGACTATATAGTCAGAGGACATGCAAATAGGGCCCTCCCTCCACTGATTAAACCAGCCTATCCCTGAACCTGCAGCTGGGAGAGGAGCCCAGACCCCAGCAACCCAGGGGACCCCATTCAGGGATCAGGACAGAACACACACAACTCACCATGGAGTCTGTGCTCCACTGGGTTTTCCTTGTTGCTATTTTAAAAGGTAATTCATGGGGAACACGGGACCTTGAGTCTGTGAGTGGAGGTGAGTGAGAGAAACAGGGAATGTGGGACAGTTTCCTGATCAGGATGTCTTGTGTCTGCAGGTGTCCAGGGAGAGGTGCAGCTGGTGGAGTCTGGGGGAGACCTGGTGAAGCCTGGGGGGTCCCTGAGACTCTCCTGTGTGGCTTCTGGATTCACCTTCAGTAGTTACTGGATAAGCTGGGTCCGCCAGGCTCCAGGGAAGGGGCTGCACTGGGTCTCAGTAATTAACAAGGATGGAAGCAGCACATACCACGCAGACGCTGTGAAGGGCCGATTCACCATCTCCAGAGACAACGCCAAGAACACGCTGTATCTGCAGATGAACAGCCTGAGAGCCGAGGACACGGCCGTGTATTACTGTGCACACACCGTGAGGGGACCTCAGTGTGAGCCCAGACACAAACCTCCCTGTAGAAGGGGATGGGGACCGCTAGGAGGTGCACACTCCTGACTAGTTGTCACTTGAAGGCCCAGGAGCAGGTGCAGATGAGGGTTACGGGCTGGTTTCCTGTCAGGGTCTGGGCTTCCTCTCCTTGGAGCAGTATTCCCCAAGGAGTCATATGGACACATTATCCTGGTCTTATCTATTGAGTCTCTGAATTAGAAATATTATTTTTATATGAAAAACACTTATAACATGTACAAAGGACAAAGTTGCTGGCACTTGTTTATTACTATCCCTACATGCAAAAAAAAATGACAATCTCTGCAGTTACATCAGCTAAGCATTTACTGGAGCCACACCTGCATTTGTGCTTCGCGGGTCCACTCACCTCAAGGAGCAAGCTTGGTGGAAGCAGCATAAAGTGCATGCAAGATAAGAGGCCACAGAAGCATCAACCATCTAAAGCAAGAGAAGACAGATCCCTGTTGCGGTAACTGTCTTGAACAAGCCTCCCTGCAGCGACGTTAGTAACAACCTGAGAAGGAACGGGGGTGCCCAGCAGGATGTTGTGTATTTGTGCTGTCTCAGGATCATAAACACACACACACACACATACACAGACAAGAGTATTAAACTTCATCACCTTCACAATCGTGTCTGTTGAGAGCAGCACAGCCTCTTCGCAAGTCACAAATGCTTGGATGGAACCAGGGAAGGACACGGGCTCAGGGTTTGTGTTGTGGGTCTGTGGTGAAGATGGGATACTGCTTGAGGAGGGGCTTGTGTGGAGTCAGTGTCCCCCCTGCATCAATGCTGATATCAGCTCACTGTGTGTGACCTCTACCATCCCCATGTTGAAAAACAACATCCGTGTGATGGGGGGGGGGTGGGGCCTGAGGGCAGCACTTAGGTCAGGAGATCCATCCTCATGATGGGATCACGAAACTTAAACACCAGGTCGTGGGAAGCTCTTTGCCTCCAGGCCCCATGTGAGGTGAAAGGGAAAGTACCGGCTAGGACGGGGGCGCTCTCCAGACACCACATCTGCCTGCACCTGGACCTCAGACGTCCCAGACTCCAGAGCAGGGATAATGAGTGTCGCCTTTTTAATCCACCCAGCCTGGGATTGCGGTGACATCACCCAGACACACGAAAACAGGGTCTCTCCTCTGATTCATCCTTTACAGCCTGGTACCACGAAAAGACTCCGGTTATGACAAAACAGAGTAGGAAACCCACACCTGGACTCACTGTCCTCAGCCACCTTCCACGCTCCTGTGCTTAGTAGCTGTGCATCGTGTTGGTGCCACACATTCTTCCTACAACGCTGGGGTTTTGAGAACCGTTAGTATCCTGGGATTCCTCCCTCTTTACCACCTGAGGAGCTTTAAGCCAGCACATGCCCCATGGAAGCAGACATCTAAATTTCAGATTTTCCTGTCTGCTGCTCATCATACTTTACAGAATATTCTGGATCAGCCTCCTTCTTGTCCTCATCGCCACAGCTATATCTCCCCATGACAACATCCACACCTCCTACATTCAAAAGGAGGTTGATTTTCCACCTGTGGACTTGCAGTTTTTGTTCTCTCAGACCTCTGAGTGATTTCATGGGTGATCACAATGAGTCACTAACTATCTCTCATGTTCCAGGAACGAGACAAGCTCAGAGACTCCTGATCCAGGAGTTAAGATCTCCTCCCTCCCAGTGCTGTTATAGCAAAGACCGTGTGTGGAATTCCCTCTGCTTTATATGCTGAAGATCAAGAGGGGACTCTGGAATTTTATGTCAAAATCACCTAAATTTATTTCCCTCCCATCTCTTACCTCAGTCCTGTGGATTCATTTTGTGTTTGAATGTATGTTGTACAATTTTTATTTTATTTTGCAGTAAATAATGGTGACATATGTGGTCCATGCACATATTCTCCCTAATGAGTGACGTAGAGAGGAAAGCACCTCTCAACATGTGACATGGGCTTCGGGCAGGAGGTTGGGCATCCTCCACAAGGACAAGGATTGCGGGAATATTATTATCACAACTCTGTGTCTTCATGCCATTGCTGTAGTTGCACGTTGGATGGTGTGGGCAGCTGGAAGTCCCCCTGATGCATGTGATCCCCTCAGGGATGGAAGCTGCTGGATCTGGAGGCAGAAGAGAAGTCCTGTCTCATTCGGCAGGGTCAAAGGGACTGACACGAGAAACCAAATTTGAGGTGGATCGGAGCAGAAAAGTGGAATTGAATTCCTTAACCTTGACATTTTCTCTAGGTCTGTATCTTCCTCTGTGTGTACAAATGCCCGTTCTAGCTTCTGCTCCAGAATAACAGCTTTATGATGAAGACGTCACATAGGATGCTGGTTCTGGGTCTTCAGAGTGTCTGTGGTGTGGGCTGCGGCCACTGTGCTGTCCTGTTTTGGCTGCTATTTCCTTCAGGCCAGGCGTCCACACAGGCACTCCTTGCCTTCAGGGGGCTGTATGTGATCCGTGGCCAGAATGTGAGTTTTAACTGGGTGTGCTTTGCTCTGCTTGTTAAATGAGCCCTGATACCACCTCCACTAGAACTGAAGCCCTGCAGAATTCTCTGGTCAGGAGATGTGGGTGGGCAAGGGTGCAGCTGCTCTGGGAAAACATATGGTGTGACATCAGATAGGTAATAGTAAACCTACCCTGTGATCCAGCAACTGCACTACTGGGCATTGACTCTAAGAATACAAAAGTACTGGGATGCCTGGGTGGCTCAGCAGTTGAGCACGTGCCTTCAACTCGGGTCCTGTTCCCAATCTGGTGATCGTGTCTCATATCAGACTCCTGGAAGGAGCCTGCTTCTCGCTCTTTGTCACAGCGTCTTTGCATCTCCCATGAATAAATAAATAAAATCAGTAAAAGGAAAAGAATCCTGAGATACTTGGGTGGCTTAGTAGTTGTGTGCCTGCCTTTGGCTCAGGGCATAATCCCAGACTATAGGGGTCAAGTCCTACCTCGGGTTTCCTGCATTTAGCCTGCTTCTCCCTCTGCCAATGTCTCTGCCTCTCTCTGTGTGTATGTCTCTCATGAGAAAAATAAAACAAATGAAAATTTAAAAAGATAAAAGAATATTCAAAGGAAAACAGGACCATTGAAATAAAGACTCACTATTAGTATATATTAAACCAAATATAAAAGCACTGTGGGAGGCACCTGACAGGATAAGCCAACACTCATCTATAAAGCAGGCAGAGCCTTGTGTGGACATGTTACGCAGGAGGGTACAGACACATGAAGTAAGCACAGGGGAGAGCACCTCCCACCAGGGTCTGTCAGGGAAATTCACATCCACCACAATGAGATGCCCTATACACTCATCACAAGGGCTCAGGTATGAAAGGAGCACTGACCAGAACATCCTGGGGAGCATACAGGACACCTGGAGCCTCAACCCTGCAGGTAGGAATGAAAAATGAAACAGAAGCCTTGGAAAATCATTGTTCTGTTCCTCCTGAAATTAAAGATGGATGACCTACCACGTGACCAGCGGTCACCTGTGGATCCTGGGGTGGGGCTCCTCTACCAGCTGCAGGGTCGTGTTCCGCTGGTTTAGTCAGTGAAGGGACGGTCCTATTTGCACTTCCTTTGGATATATAACCAGCACCAGACCTAGATTTGACTCTTCACATCTATTAACAAGGATTGCTTTACATCTCTAGACCACTGTGTGTAATGACTTCTGACATTATGAAGTGTTCAAATCTATGAAAAATTACCTTTGCATTTCTTTTTGAGTTTTTAAAAATCTCTCTTCAATGTAGGTTCTTTTAGTGTACAGTATTTTACCTTTTTCAGAATACTTAATCCTACATATTATATTCTTAACACCGGTGTCAATGTAATAAGTTTTATTAATTACCTTTTAAATACTTTATTGTTAGGGATGCTGGGGTAGCTCAGCGGTTGAGGTCTGCCTTCTGCTCTGGGAGTGATCCTGGAGTACAGAGATCCAGTTCCACATTGGGCTCCCTGCATGGATCTTGCTTCTCTCTCTGCCTGTGTCTCTGCCTCTCTCTGTCTCTGTGTCTTTCATTAATAGTCAAATAAAACCTTTTTTTTAATAAATTAATTTTTTATTGGTGTTCAATTTACCAACATACAGAATAACACCCAGTGCTCATCCCGTCAAGTGTTCCCCTCAGTGCCCATCACCCACTCACCCCCACCCCCCACCCTCCTCCCCTTCCACCACCCCTAGTTTGTTACCTTTAAAATATAAATGTTTTGGGATCCCTGGCGGCGCAGCGGTTTAGTGCCTGCCTTTGGCCCAGGGCGCGATCCTGGGGACCCGGGATCGAATCCCACGTCGGGCTCCCGGTGCATGGAGCCTCCTTCTCCCTCTGCCTGTGTCTCTGCCTCTCTCTCTCTCTCTCTCTCTCTCTCTGTGTGTGTGTGACTATCATAAATAAAAAAAAATTAAAATATAAATCATTTTTGTTAGTGTGTGGAAACCTAGATATATTTTGCATGTTTATTTTGCATCCTATAGATTTCCTGAAATTGTTCTTTAAGGATTTGGTTTGTAGCTTGTTGCGTTTGACCTTGCAATAGATCATATCATATGGATACAAAGTTTTTTTTCTGATTCTATTCATTTAATTATCTGTTTTTTCTATGTTTCCTACATTTCCTGGATTGGAATTCCAGTCATTGCCCCAGTAAGGGTTTCCTTCTCTTCTATATGATTATTTGTCTGGACTAATTAGGGTGTAGATGTATGACAGACCTATGTGGAGATGTATTTCATGTTGCATGTGCATGAGCTCCCGAGAACACAAAACGCAATGACCAAAGTAGGCAGCCCTTGTGCTTCTTACACAACAGGACGTTGGGTTTGTTGAGATATAAGGCCAGGAAATTGGGTTTGGGTCATTGAATTAGTGAGGATTCCACAGCCTTCTGGGTCCCACAGATGGTTCTAGTGAAGAGGATGTTTCATCCCACCCAGTAGGGAGAAGGAGATTTTCCCACAGGAGATTTATTTCCTTCCATTAGGGTGACACAGGAGGTTCAGAGCCTCTGTCCACTGGATGATTCTCGTGTGATTTTATCACAATAATCCAGGGAACCAACTGACATATGGGGTGGCACAGTTTATTCTCCTTCAGTATAACATGTTGAATACTCATGGTGGGAATGACCCCTGTGTGGGTCCTGACTTGACAGAAGGGCTTCAGGTTTTCACTTTTGAATGCAGTGATGGTTGTGGGTTTTTCATAAAATGTGACTAATTCGCGGAGGGAAACTCTTGTGCCTCGTCTGTTAAGATGTTTTGAAGATAAAGCGTGTTAGATATTGTCAAGCGGTTTTAGGCATCATAGGAAAGAATCATGTACATCCAATCCTTCACTCTGTTAATACAGGGCCCCATTTATGATCTGGGCGTGTTCAAGAATCCTTGCATCCCAGGCATGATTTACTCTAGGTCATCCTGTTCGATCCGTCCATGTCCTGTTGGATTCAGGATGCCAGCATTTTTGCATTTATGTGTATCTGAGATATTGTCCATGTGTCCCTTCTTGTGGTTTCCGTTGCATGAGTTTGCTGTCAGAGTCGTTCTGCCCTCCTTAAATCAATTTGGGCAATTTCCATTCTCATTATGTATTGGAAGATATTGAAAAGTTTTACCTTAATTCTTAAAATACTTCGTAAAATTCATAGATAAAGCCATCTGATTTTGGACTCTTTTTTTTTTTTTTTGCTTTATTCTTCTTAAATCTTTCATTGTCCTTTTGTAGGCAGAAGTTTGTAGATAATGATTTTAGTCTTTGTATTTGATCTGTATTGTTCATTTTTTATTTCCTCATGAAACAGTTTTAGTGTATTCATAATACTAGGAATGTTGTAATTTGCCTGTGTTCCAATACTTTCTCTTTTAGAATCTTTGCATTTTATTTATGTTCCTTTTTATTTTGTTTTGTTTTTACTTTTTTATTGGAGTTCAATTTGCCAACATATACTGTAGCACCCAGTGCTCTCCTGCCAAGTGCCCTCTTTATTGCCCATCACCCAATCACCCCTACCCTCTGCCTGACTCCCCTTCCACTACCCCTTGTTCACTTCCCAGAGTTCGGTGTCTCTCATATTTTGTCACCCTCACTGATACTTTCACTCATTTTCTCTCCTATCCCTTTGTTCCATTTCACTAATTTTTATATTCCCCAAATGAATAAGACCATATAATGTTTATCCTTTTACGATTGAAGTTTTTCACTCAGCATGATACCCTCCAGGTCCCTCCACATCGAAGCAAATGGTGGATATTTGTCGTTTCTAATGGCTGAGTATTATTCCACTGTATACAGAGACAACATCTTCTTTATCCATTCATCTTTCAATGTACACCGAGAGTCATTGGTGTTGGTCATTTTTTCTCTTTGAAATCTGATTATATTTTTTAAGGCCTATCTATTTTCCTAGAGTGCCTATGACTTTTAAATTTCATTTTTATTTTTCATACTTATTTAAATCTCCAGGAATATTTTTATTTGTATAGATTCTATTTTTCTTCTAAGAATTTCAATGTCGATTAAATTAACCAAAATACCAATTGTTTGATTAAATTCACAAAAATACCA